GTAGGTCTCAGGAACTATGGAATTGGGAACTTGAACTAGGTGAAGTCTGCCATCTCTCTTTTGGCTTTTGCTTCATTCTTCCATAGTAGGTTTATTAGTCAGGGTTCAAAAGAAAAACAGGAAAAGATGTGTGTGTGTGTGTGTGTGTGTGTTGGACATACATCCTGTAGAGAGAGAGAAAGAGAGAGAGGCGGGGAGAGAGAGAGAAAGAGGAGGAGAGATTGATTTATTTTAAGGAATTGACTCATGTGATTGTGGAGGCTTGGCAAGCCCAAAATCTGCAGGGTCTCTGGAGACCCTGGGAAGAGGTGCTTTCGAGGCTGAAGGCAATGTGCTGGCAGAATTCCCTTTCCCATGAGATCAGTCTTTTCTATTAAATCCTTCAACTGACTGGATGAGGCCACTCACATTATGGAGGGTAAATTTACTTTACTCAAAGTCTACTGATAACAAATACCTTCACAGAAACATCTAGAATAATGCTTGACCAAACATTTGGGTACTATGGACTAGCTAGGCTGACATAAAATTAACCATCACAGTAGGAAAAATGGGGAAGAAAGAGGGATGGCCTATTCTTATCGGTCCTGGCTCTTAAATTCTTGAGAAAGTACTTGATTTGCCCAACTGTTTGAGGTGTCCACCACTGGTCTAAACAATTTTAATCAAGTAGTGGCATCTGTAAAAAAAGACCATAAATCAGCCCAGCTCATGTGAGGTGTCCGTGATGAACCAATACATTATGGGTAGGGAAAGGTGGGGGCAGGGTTATCTTTTGCAAAATAGTTTGAAATATAAAATGAGGTGTTGCATAAATGGGGAATCATTGACTAATAACTTATAAATATAATTTTCAAATGTTAACATGTCTTTCCATATAATGATGGGCCTTCCTCTAATTTCAGTTTTCCAAGTTTTTTGTGTAATTTTAGTTATGGCTCATTGATTTTCTATCATGTTGTATACAAGTTCTGGTGAAGAAATGATGGTTTTCACTCTAAATTTCTAAGATTGATTTCATCCACTTTTCTCTGAATATTTTCTAGATTCAATAATTACTTCATCTATGGACAGAAAGCAGAGCACTGTAACACTTCCTACAGAAGGTAGTATGTTTCTTCTTTCCTTTTTTTTTTTTTTTTAGGCCAGTACTGAAGCATGGAATGTTGAGCTTCCTCAGAAACATAGTCAATGGTGGTCTGGCCCCCGTGCTGGTCTTGGGCCCAGTTGAAAAATATGGTGATCTGAATGCTGTGGGATAAGGGACTTGAATTACTTCACTCATTCTCCCTTAAAGCTGTTCAATTCCACTGGAAGGTTATGGGGTTTTCTCTCTCAGGCACCATGCTGGGCTTTGGGAGGAACATAAAGATGAGCAAGACTAGCAGAGAGCCCCTAGGGAGTTCAGTCTCGTGGGGGAACCCAGGTGGGAGCACAGCTGTCACACAGGAGGTGAGCACTCACATCACCTGTACCAAGACTGTAGAGCAGAGTGGCTAAGCACCAAGGCTTAGGAAAGGGCTCACAGAGGATGTAGCGTGTGGATCAAGTCTTAAGGGAAGTGCATTTTAATAGAAAAAGAGCATTTGTATAGGGCATTCTAGACTGTAAAAACAATGTGAGAAATGACATGGAAGCAGAATTGTGCTTGGTGTTTTTCTGCACCACGGGGACAATGTAGTGTGTAATAAATAAGATTGTAAAGAGAGTCAATGTGACAGTGAGGGCTTTCAAAGCCAATATGAAGACATTTAAACTTATTTTTCAGGCAGTGAGTGATTTCTGGAGGGTTTTAGAGTTGAGGGAATCTTATCTATGTTGTAGAATGATATCTGGATGCAGTGTAATGATGTCTGGATGTCTGGACTGGAGGAGAAGAGTTTTGAGACAGAGACAGAAGTTAGGAGGCTTTTGCATCAATCCAAGTATATGGCGATGGGGACTTAATCTAACATAGGGTAGTGAGAAAAGAAATGAAATGCCCAGAGCCAAGAATTTGTCTATGTACATAAGGCTGGATGAGACTGGAAGATATTTATAGATGAAGAATGGATTGTGGTTGCTGTTTTGGGAGCAAAGATGAGACTCTACTGTCTTCTCAGTGAAGCAAGAAGTAAAATCACCCTAGGTGATCACAGGAAGCATATGGAGAATACATTTGTTAGGTGTTAAGCCCACAGATTGTTGTGGAGGTACTGGTCATTGGTAAATTATCACAACAGATATGAAAAAGGAAAAAAGAGGTTGAAGAAAGGCTTAAAATCAACAATAACAAAAGAACTATCATCACCGTGCAAAAGGTGAAGGGTGATTGAAGTTTATAGAATGGTAGAAAGTGAAAGAACATAGAATATCTGCAATGCTTGGAATCCTACCATTGGAGTTATTTCTTTGGATACTATGCCCCTGTTCCATTGTGTGTTTTTTTGATTAGCAAGAACTTTCCTTTAAAAAATAGAGTCAGATATTGAGGATAAGTATTAGACAAAACATTAAAGTCTTATGCTGCTTATAAGCTAAAGTTCAAAATCCCAAGAACTACGGAAGGATATTCACAACTTGCTCTCACCGGTCTCTTATTTTTCTGGTTTTATCTTAAGCATCATTTCCTTATGCACAAAGATGCTTCCCACATCCAACCTCTAGCAGCTCTCTAACAAGCCGTATTCTTGTTTGTCTCCAAGCCTAGGGGATGCCACTTAGAGTGATGGAAAGAGCATGGATTTAACTGCCCTCTTAGATCTGCTTTAAAATCATCTCTTCCTTTATCCAGTAATATAATCTTATATTGGCCATGAGATGCAAAGGCTTGAGTACATCATAGAGGAGGCTGATGATACCAAAAGAGAGGAAAAGTATTAAATGCAAAGTTTTAAACAAATAAGCTTCATCCACGTAAAAAATTTTGCTGTGCCACAGTTGGTTCTGTTCATGTTAAACTGATGAAATCACCAACACTCACCTTAGTTACAGGTGACTTGTAACAGAATCACCTCTCAGCAAATCCCTTTCAATCAGGGACACACGTCAGTTTATGGGAAAGTGTGAGCTTCTATATTGAGAGGTGCTTGCCAGTCTTAATTTTTACTTTAAAATATGGAAAAATAGGTCAATGCTATATTTATACTGATAATTGAATGTATGGAAACAAAATTGTGAGCAAGGTTCACAGCAAACAGTCAGGGAGTATATATGTGAGTGAATAGGAAGGAAGGGGAACTCACTGAAAGGCCATATTTGATACCACTACACATTTGCAATAAAATCCTTTTAATAGAAAATTTACAGAAGAAAATAATCCTTGTTTTTGCATTGATTTGTATTTATATATTGTACTACTCTTTTTTTTTCTAGAAAAATACTTCTAAGAATCTCTTTACCACTTGGCATCATCATTTTTCATTTTTGTGAGGTGGCCCACCTAAGGAAATTGCAGATTATTTCAAAATCTGTTGACTTAACTGATTTTGTGCTTCTCCAAATAAAAATTAAGCAAAAGAAATTCCAGCTTGTTCAACCTGAATGCCATCTTAGCTATTTTTAATGAAAATATCATATTCTTCCAGGTTTATGTTTGTCTGCAGTACCACCGTTAAGGATAGGTGTTTAGTTCTGATGTTACTGATTTTTCACTTTCATCAGAATTTAGGAGGAAAAAAACACGTTACTAATGCTTCCATTTTTCCTCCCCTGAGGAGCATGAGTTGTATGATAAATCTAATAGTTTCTGTGGTCAAAAGATTAGATTTAGAAAACTGTCTTTGTCTTTATTTTAGATTCTGCATTCTCATCTATTTGCCTTATAGATATCAAATCTCCTGAATTGATTTTGTAACACTTTAAACAGTTTTGTCACAAGTATAATTCATATTATTTTCTTATTGATACATAACACAGAAGTAAGTTGTTTAATCTTTGTGCTATGTGCTAAGTCACTTCAGTTGTGTCCAACTGTTTGCGACCGTATGGACTGTAGCCTGCCAGGCTTTCTGTCCATGGGATTCTCTAGATAGGAATAATGGAGTGAGTTGTCATGCCCTTCTCCAGGGGATCACTGGATGGGTTTAATACTTTATATGCTTTTCATCAATGTTAGTTTCTTATGTAAGTTTAAGATTTCTGGAGTAAGACACCAGCAAAGTAATGTAAAGTACAATTTCAAGTAATATGCAGTGAATACATTTTAACACATGAAGTTCTTTATCAAGCTTTTCTCTTATTATTCTCTGTATTTGTGCCTGTGTGTATGTGTCCAGCTAATACTTCACTATTGGTACTAGTGGGTACAAAGTCTGTGCTCTATTGCCCTCCTGTGCTGCGGACAAATGTGCTGGTAGCAACATGGGAAATAGTCCTCAGAGACAAGCCACCCTTCTTCAGAGCCTTTAGGCGTGATACGAATCAGACCACAACAGAAAACTGTACAGATGAGAGAATAATTTGGGCCTCCAGACCTGATGAGAATCTTGCTCTTCTGATTTATCCAGTGGCCATCACTCATGATGGGAATTACACGTGTCATATAGTAACACGTGATGGGAATTTCCAACATGGATATCACCTCCAAGTGTTAGGTAAGGAACATCATATGTTGCAGTGTTTCAGATAACCAGATTTTGGGCTGAAACAAATCTCACTCTAAATTCCATGTCCCATATGTTAAGACTGAAGCATTTCCCCTACATTTCTGCAGTGCCCCCTGAGGTGACCCTGATTCAAACTGAGAATGGAACTGCAGTGTGCAAAGCAGCTGCAGGGAAACCAGCTGCACAGATCTCCTGGACCCCAGAGGGTGATTGTGTCACTGAGCAAGAGCCTTACTGGGGTGATGGCACAGTGACTGTCCAGAGTACATGCCGCTGGGGGGGCCACAATGTGCCTGCTGTGTCCTGCTTTGTCTCCCACTTGACTGGCAACAAGAGTCTGTCCATACAGCTGGAAAGAGGTAGGTAATTTTTCTAGTTTTGTGTTTGATTTTCCCTGTCTTTTAGAGGAGTTACCTTAAGAAGGAAAAAGGAGTGTGCAGAGAAACTTCATTCTAGAATGTCCTTTCCAATCTCCATTTTATCTTCCTCTTCTCCTCAAAACAAAGAAATTTGCCTAGAAGAATATTAAAGAAATTTGTTGTAAAAAGTCATATATAGAATGCATTTTATTTTACTTTTAATGGTCCTTTCTGTACTGCTAAATTTACTTGCATCATATACTTTAAAATAAATATTTGTGGCTTTAATAGAAAGATAAAGTATAATTTTAAACAAGTAATTATAATTTTATTAGAAGAATAAAGTTATTCATAAATTACCTTTGTGAATCCTCAGTCTGGTAGAATTTGCTCTTTCAGTTTCCTCCAATAAAATTTCCTAAATGCCATATACTAGCATCTATGATTCAGTTAATAATTGTTTAGTTTCTCTACTCTCTGCTCCTGTCCTACTCTTATTTCTTATTATTAAAACTATTATTTTAATCAACATAACTCATATAGGTTAAAGTCCACATTGTTCTATAAGCTTATGATAAAAAAACATTAGACCTCTCTCTCCACCTCCACCTCTCCATTCTTACATGATCTCCCAAGGGAAGTATTTCAAATGTTTGAGTGTTTCTTATAGTAATTGACTCAAATTTTATTAATATAAATCACATGGTTATATGGCTGTTCCTTAATATAGCAAATTTGGACATATTGAACCCACTTCTCATGATAGACAAAGATTTTTACTTTCTTCTCTTCCCTCATTCTTCATATACAGTAAAATAGCAAGTTTGGGTTAAATTAGACAATGTTTACATTATTTTGAATGTGTATGTTTTGTTAAGAACTGAATCAATAAATAAACTCATATATTTGTCTCTGAATAAATTTTTGTTCTTCTTGGGCTTAACAGCTTTTCTTTTTTTATCTCCTTAATAATGCATGTATCTATTGTTCAGTAACACTAACTATATATATGTGTATGTATTCAGTCACTAGTTGTGTCTACTCTTTGTGACCCCACAGACTGTAGCCTGCCCGGCTCCTCTGTCCATGGGATTTTCCAGGCAAGAATAGTGGAGAGGGTTGCCATTTCCTCCTCCACCTGGGGATTGAACCTGTGTTTCCTGCATTGGCAGGCAGATTCTTTACCACAGGGAAGTCCGATTTTATATATATATGTATATATATATATAATATATGCATATGTGACTTGATTTTATATATTTATATATAAAATTTTTTTTTAATGGACTTTATTTTTTAGAACAGTTTTAGGATAACAACAATACTGAGTGGAAAGTCCAGAGAGTTCCCAAATCCTTGCCCCTACAGATACATGGTCTTTCTGTCTATCTACACTCCCCACATCTCACAGTGGTACATTTGTTATAATCATTGGGCCTATCTTAACATATTAGGGCTTCCCTGATAGCTCAGTTGGTAAAGAATCTGCCTGCAATACAGGAGATCCTGGTTTGATTCCTGGGTCAGGAAGATCCACTGGAGAAGGGACAGCGTACCCACTCCAATATTCTTGGGTTTCCCTTGTTGCTCAATTGGTAAAGAATCTGCCTGCAGTGTGAGAGACCTGGGTTCAGTCCCTGGGTTGGGAAGATCCCCTGAAGAAGGGAAAGGCTACCCACTCCAGTATTCTGGCCTGGAGAATTCCATGGACGGTACAGTCTACGGGGTCTCAAAGAGTCGGACATGACTGAGTGACTTTCACTTTCACTTTAACACGTCAAGTGGCTGACTTTATTTTTCTGGGCTCCAAAATCACTACAGATGGTGACTGCAGCCATGAAATTAAAAGACACTCCTTGGAAGGAAAGTTGTGACCAACCCAGATAGCACATTAAAAAGCAGAGACATTACTTTGCCAACAAAGGTCTGTCTGGTCAAGGCTATGGTTTTATCAGTGGTCATGTATGGATGTGAGAGCTGGACTATAAAGAAAGCTGAGCACCAAAGAATTGATGCTTTTGAACTGTGGTGTTGGAGAAGACCCTTGAGGGTCCCTTGGACTGCAAGGAGATCCAACCAGTCCATCCTAAAGGAGATCAGTCCTGGGTGTTCACTGGAAGGACTGATGTTGAAGCTGAAACTCCAGTACTTTGGCCACCT